TCCCAATAGTATCCTGTAACGATATAGGGTGGCCTCGTGATCAGGTTCGCTGTCATAGTGACACAATAGTGCCACAGGCGACCAGGAAGTTAACTGGGGATTCAAAACTGGTATATACAATGGCGACGATATCTAAGGGCCTGACAAAAGCTTTATTTAGGAAATAAGGTTTTACAGCAGCATTTGTTGGACTTGATCTAGGACCGCTATTGTATATACTACTTTTTTTATCCAAATGGTCAATACTGAAACCCAGCTGCCACTTAATGTCAAGGATTTGCAAGTCGCTCTTTCAAGGAAAGTGGAGGACATTACACATACACTGATGCTTTTTCACTGTCATTCACTGTTCAGGTACCTGTTTGAAATCGCAGTGTAAAATGAGACGTTTTTTTACACTTGCTGAAAGCGGTCAGGCTATGGGCCTTTTGGAATCTAGTCAAACTCCGCGGCAGATTGCTGGCCCCTTTAATGTGAGTCAGAGCTATTGGTAGACTGTGGCAGGGATTTCAAGCCAATTGGTCCAAGGAATATACACATAACGGATTTCTTAACGCAGCAGATCAATGGTTTAGTTCACAGGTGAAAACAGATTCAATTTGTCCTTCCATGATGGTAGGCAGAGGATTTATCATCGCATTGGAGGGCGAATCACAGATGCAACTGTTGCCATGCATAATTGATTTAGCCGGGTATCGTCATGGTTTGGGCAGGGGTAACTCCTACTGTACCTACTGCACTGCACGTCGTCGACGGTAATCTTAACGGAGAGCGTTATCGGGACGAGATTCCGGCTCCTATAGCAGTGCCATTCCTGCAAGCTATGCATGGCATTTATGGTCGACCCTCTTTACTGCAAGACGACAACGCTAAGCCTCATAGGGCCAGGATTGTCAGAGAATTCCTTAGGCAACAGGGTGTAAAGCGGATGGAGTGGCCAGCTCCAATTGAGCAAGCCTGGGGTGAACTAGGACGACGTGTGTACACATGCCACCCAGCACAAGTCGATCTCCCAGGACTCCGCAGAGCTCAAGTAGAGGAATGGAATGCGATTCCGCAAGTTTTCTTCATGAACTTGAAAAGGAGCTTGAGAACAAGGTGCACCTGTGTTTTGCGCGAGGAGGGTACACAAGATATTTAATGACCAAGTGCTTCATGTTTGTCATTTTCATTTTACGGGGTTGGTCTATACAACTGACGTTTGCTAGTGCTGTTTAAACTTTTTGCCTGTATGCCACGATGTGTCATGTTTGTCAACACATTAAACATTACGATGACACACTCTTAGTTCTATTATTTCTGAGAAACCTTTCTGTTTAATGCGCTATATATCATTTGACCCTTTATTAATGACGCCTAGTATATATTCTAAAATAACACAATGTTCTAGAAGCTAACCCTGCACATATCTATAGGAACTTTGGAATTGAATATGAAGAAATATCACATATAGAAACATGTAAACTGTCGGCGGTTTGGAACACAATGAATCAGATGATAAATGTAATCGGTCTCTTTCTTTCATGAGACTTCCCGATTCCCAAACGCACGCTCAAAGTGTACTCGGAACCATACAATGGACTCATTCAGATGAATTAAAAAAATAGTTTTATCGCATTTATTTATAATAATAATGATTTGTCACCAGAATTTGTTCATTTGTATACAACCACCTCCTTGTTGTAGTGGTTAGAGCGTCCGCCCAGAGAGCGGAAGGTTGCAGGCTCGATCCCCGGCCGCGTCATACCAAAAGACGTTAAAATATGGTACTTGTTGGTCCCTGTCTGGCGCTCGGCATTACTGGGTATAACAAGGACTGGTCGGCTCGGAGTTAGTATAGCTCGGAGTCTGAGCTGGGTATACATGCTTAACTGCGGCATGGTATCTCAGTGAGCTAGCACTATAAAGCCAGCTTAAGTCAGCCACACATACGCATGCACGTGGTCATATGAGCGAAATATTCTTATGACGTTAAACCTCATTTCACCTCAGCTCATTCGTTTCCTGACTGATTACTCTAGGAGGATAACTGTCAAAGAACCACATTAATTTAGTATTTGAAATATTAAAGTGTTAATTTGGGCATATATAAATTATTCAGCATTTCAAGAGTAATTTGATTAAACGGGCCCTCGTGCCGATCAGGATTCTGCAAGAATCAGAACAACGTAAGGTAGTTTGAGATCAGGTAACATACGTTTACCACAAAAATACGATATGGTAAGACCTGTGTTAAACTTATCTTATGGCGCGATATTTTGCTCGGGCACTCGATAGGGAAAAGGGTCCGGGTTAGAATATTGTTCTTCTGTAACCTATGCTTGTTATAAGAGGCGACTAATGGGATCGGGTGCTCAGGCTCGCCGACTTGGTTGACACATGTCATCGATTCCAAATTGTGCAGATCAATGCTCAAGCTGTTGATCACTGGATTGTCTGGTCCAGACTCGATAATTTACAGACCGCCGCGATATAGTTGGAATATTGCTGAGTGCGGCGTAATTCTCAATTCACTCACTCAATCACGATAGAGAAAATCAGTCAAGCCTAAGATCTCCAGGAATAGTTTATCCGTGCCATGACGACACACTAGGTGGTATCAGGTGTACTATTATATATTCAGTAAACTATTTCCATCGTGTGGTCAACCCGTGAAGATTCGGGTGAGAAGTGGATTTCAGCACCAATGCATTCGTCACCATTCGCCCCTTTCCGTAACCTAAAAAAAAGGCTCGTGCCCCTCTCGATGCATTTTATGTACTAACATACAACAAACCAACAGAACACGCGTAATGATATCCAGTGCCTTGATGAAAAAAATCTTCAGAAGTCGTTCATGGCATTATGTGGTTTTGTTTAAAATATATATATCGTCAGAACTGTGTTGTCTAAGGTGAAGCTTTTAATAAGGATAATGAGAGTTTAAAATTCACCCACGTGCAGCTCTCATGGGTCCACGTGAATGTATTCCTGTGGATGTTGCGGGCTTGTTTTGGAGATTGTACATGCGCTTTCCATCATTTTAAAATCTAATTATACTACCTATCAAAAGTTTAGACTCGCTAGCGTAAATGTAGCCACTTACTTCAGTCAACTGATCCAAACTAGATTTTCCAAAAAATACTATACAGTTTAAGGGTACTGTTTACACAGGAAATGATGTATTGTAAAACAAATTCGCAACGTTGAAAAGATTCTTGTCATGAGCTCAATAAATGATAAAACTTAGTGACAATTTGTGATTTCTTAACAAAACTTTACACCAAAACGCAGCTGTTCACATGCAGGATACTTGCACATGTTTTTCAGCAATTTGATGCATGATCATTGTGCAATTCATCTGCATAAGGTTTGCAGTTGGTTCCCTCAAGTTAGTGGAGAAATTCATCTTCGATGTAACTACATATATATATGCAGAACATATAGTAAATGTTTTAAGTGAGTTTTGATGGGTAGTATATAAATAGCTACGAGTTTCAAAACAATATATTTATACATAATAATAGAATTTAATCAGCAACTTTGGGCATATATTTGACATCTTTTAGTCTAACGTTTCTGACATAGTCTGATCTTTTTCAGCATTTTCAGTTTAAAATTCCACCAGGGGTATGGCAACAAGGTTATACGAATATTCAGTTTTAATAATATTTTTTAATAAAAGTCATTTTTGAGCAAAAAAAATCTGTTTTGGGATTTAATGTACCTGGCAAAAAATATTTTATATGCATGTTCAATAAAACAAATCCCATTTGTGATTCTTGAGCCCTGTTTAGAAATATACAAGGAGAACAGCTGGTAATAATTATGTTAGAATATGTGTGTAAAATATTTTTTCTCTTTCTTTTACTTGAATCAAAGAGGTTTATTTCGTGAAAAGAAATAATTAAATAATAAATAAAAATCCAGCAGTACAATATACGAATGCTAGTACTAGTGGAATCAAACAGGAACAGAGTTATCGTTCTTGTTTGAAGTAGTTCTGATGTTCATAAAATACTTCCAGAGGGACACGACTCGTTATTCGGCTTGTCACGGAATAACACGAGTACTAACTAGTTGGGTCACAAATGGTGTCATCGTTTCCCAATTGTGATGATCGATGCACATTGCTGTTGATCACTGAATGCATCGATCACACTATGGCATCTGGCTAAGTATCAATAACTCCAGATACATTTTCTAAAATATTCAGTTATTTTAATTCCATGTTTTTGAAATTCCTCGAAGATTTAGATCAACATATTTTCTTCAAAACATTGCATAAATTGCAAAATTATTTTGTTTAAAACTGACCTGAAAAGAATCTCTTACAATGCTGGAAGTCGGAAAGGAGTTAAGTTCTGGACAATGGCGTTCTCTGCGTCACATCAGACGTTCTGACTGATCTCTCCTGTTGTTTGGCTGACAGGTTAATTCTGATAAAAGAAATATTGCCAGCACTTCAGCTTCATCACTGATTCACATTAGTAATGTTAGTTAAATTAGCAACTTAGATTGTTAGGGGCGGTTTCCTCAAGGGAGGCTGAAGTACCGTAAAATCATTGTCCTCCTGAGAGGATACGTAAGTCCCAAAACATTCGAAGTACAATTTAATCGTCCACTTTTTACTCGTAGCATTGTTGTCATTTTAATTGTGGGTAAATTAGTCTACAAACACCAGCGGCTGAAGGGATGGTGTAAATCCAGATTGGGTCCATGCAGGTAGCAAAGGTACTGTAAGTCCCCATGGTCCCTAGTATGGTGATCTACCTTCAGTTGTTTGCGATCTGTAGCCCGTGTTTTATATTGTATTGTCTTCTTTAATTGAAATGTTTTAGTTTTACATTCATATCTTTGATCCTCTTGTATATTTACTGTCCATCGTCGACAGGTTTTACTCTTCCAAATGTTTTCATTTTTTATTGTATAAATTTTTTCGTAACGATATGGCTGGGATATTGCCGATGTAACGTTAAATATTAACTCAATCACTCACTCACACCATTTTTCCTTCGCAGATGTCATCTATGAAAACACCATCGTCACGAACTAGTCGCTCTCGTAACTATGGATACCGATATCATCACGTGACCTGGACACACATATCTGCATCAGCGATTAGTATTTACCATAGATGTTAACACCTTAATACCTTTCGGCTATGTTTACGATTTTCGGCCCCGTGCCGATTCAACAAGACCACTGCATCTTGGCTCTACCTAATTGGCTTCTCTCCCGTTGATCTCGTCTTATTGTTATCATCTTATTGTTATCATCTTATAGTTATCCTCTTATTGTTATCCTCTTATTGTCATGACATCTGACATTACGTTGATTTGTTATATGTACTCCGTGTGATGACTCATTATTCACCTGACGATGGTCAAGAAGTAATTAAAGACAATTTAACATGTTCATGTTCTTCCATGTAAATGTCCAACAATGACCATATGCGTAGCAAGTCTTGATTGTTTTAACCATTTTCATTTAATCCCACAACAATGACAACAGTTGTCAGTTACATACCTTGTAGTGATGGTCATTACTTAGTTCTCATTATACATCGCCTTTTCCTTAGAGGGAAAACCTGTCATCATTTGTTTTATGCTTGATATGTATGATGTGTACCATTTCCTGAGCAACGCAACTGGTAGTCTAGATCACCTATTTTCAGTGCCCTGTGACAATTGGCTCCCATAGCCCGTTGTCACATTTCAGTCCAGACGTCTGTGTACTTTACCGAGAACGTGTAATCTTAAATATACATAACCTATTTTACATTTCAAAACCTTCTAAAAGGCACCTTTGTCGCATGAAAACACAAGAACTCTTTCGTTTAGTTGTTCGCAGTATTTTGTAAAAGTCTATCACTCTGAAACATGATTCCACTTAATGTCTCACTGACAAAAACGTTGACTTAACATAGGTCAAAGAAAGGTTGGTTGGAAAAGCAACACAAGAAGCCTTGTTCGATGTTTCATAAGGGTTTGTCAGATGTTGGCACAAGTTGCTACCTCTTTTTCATTGTGTGTGGTTATATGCTCATGACCTTCCAGTTAAATGTCAGCTATTAACCTCAGTACACAGCAATATATTCCCACGTCATTTTAGTCATTGTCCACAGCAGTTTTGTAATGTAATGATGTATAGTGCACCCTGGTTATAATGTCCCTGGTTATAGTGCCACCCTTGAAATAATGCCACATGTTTGCCAGAACGGATTTCCTGCCTTTATAACACCCTGGTTATAATGCTCCTGGTTATAATGCCTAACTGGATATAATGCCATTTGCCAATGTTTCTTGGAAGAAGCGTCATTTTTCCCTGGTTATAATGCCAATTACATTGGCTGTATGTAGTATACATACCTAAATTGGTTACTTGACATGACCCAAATTAATTGGACAAACTCATTAATGCTTTAAGTAGTCAACACATGTGACAATACACTTCCTGCCATCTACAACAAGTCACTTCCAGTCCCAAGATGCTGGGATTATCCAGTCATTTAAGGCCTGTTTGAGAGATGAGCTCAGTGACCCTGTTGACAATGGCGTACCACCAACCATCCTGTTGAGGTATTACCTGGTTACAAGACCCTCCTGGATATAATGCCATATATGGACCACCAAACGGAGGCATTCTAATTAGAAACAGGGTATAACTTTCCACAACATTTTTCAATTTAATGACGTACATATTAAAGTTAACATTATATTCGTTTTTTATCCCTTTGGTGGAGCTTGTTATCCTTTTTTCTGTATGATATTATATATATATATATATATTTCTTCTATCATGAAAAGGTGGACCTGTTTAGTATCCCGATTATGTAGTGATATTGTATCGTTCTGAAACTCATTTCTATTGTTGACCAAAAAATACCGACCACCCCGTAAAAAAAAACAAAAAAAATCTCAGCATGAACACGAGGTCTCATACAGGTTGATTGGATGTTAAAGCATTCACATTTATGATTTCCCATGAAGTGTCTTTACCTATATTTGCCCATATACTTTTATTTCATTCCTCAAAAATCATTATTGGATTAATAAGTAAAGCTTCTGTCATTTTTTTCGATGTTTGTTTGTTATTTAACGCTGTATCAGCAAAATTGAGGCGGTCTGTTAATAACCGAGTCTGAACCAGACAGTCCAGAGATTTAAATCCTGCGCATGAACAATTGGAATACGATGACATGTATCCATCAAGTCAGGTATCTTGACCACCCAATCGCGTCAGTAAAGCATGGTTGGCTTAAGACTTTGACCCGCCTCCGTCATCGTATACGATGTCCCATCCATCTTTGATACATACTGTCAATATATACGATGTCACACGCATCTCTCACACATACCGTCAATACATACGATGTCCCATCCCCTTTCAACACATGCCGTCAAAACATACGATGTACCACAAATCCTTCATATATAGTGTCAATATATACGATGTTCCACCCATGTTCCGCACATACTGTCAATATATACGATGTCCCACCCATCTCTCACACACACCGTCAATATATACGATGTCCCACCCAACCTTCACAAACACCATCAATATAAACGATGTCCCAACCATCCTTCACACATAATGTCAATATATACGATGTAATACCCATCCTTCACACATTCTGTTGATATAAACGATGCAACACCCATCCGTCACAAACATAGTCAATATATACAATGTCCCACCCATCTCTCACACATGCTGTGAATATATACGATGTCCCGCCCATCCTTCACATATAATGTCAATATAAACGATGCACCCACCATCCTTCACACACACCGTCAATATATACGATGTACCAACCATCCTTAACACAACATGTCAATATATACGATGTACACGCCATGCCTCACACAAACCGTCAATATCTAGGATGTATAACCCATCCTTCACACATAATGTCAATATATACGATGTACCCACAATCCCTCACACACACACCGCCAATATATACGATGTACAAACTCTGGACACAAACCGTCAATATACACGATATACCACTCATCCTTCACACATAAAGTCAATACATACGATGTCCCACCCATCCTTCACAACATAATGTCAATATATAACATGTACCCACCATGCGTCACATACACCGTCAATATATACGATGCACCACCCATCCTTCACATATAAGGCCAATATATACGATGGGCCACCTATCCATCACACACACCGTCAGTATATACGATATCCCAACCATCCTTCACACACACCGTCAATATATACGATGCCCCAACCATCCTTTACATTCACCGTCAATATATACGATGTCCCAACCATCCTTCACTAACATGGTCAATATAGACGATGTCCCACCCATCCTTCACACATAATGTCAATATATACGATGTCCCACCCATTCTTGAAACATAACCTCAATATATGCGATGTCCCACCCATCCATCACACACACCGTCAATAAATACGATGTCCCAACCATCCTGAACACAAAATGTCAATATATAGGATGTACACGCCATGCTTCACACACACCGTCAATATATACGATGTCCCAACCATCCTTCACACACACAGTCAATATATACGATGTACCAACTATCCTGAACACAAAATGTCAATATATAGGATGTACACGCCATGCTTCACACACACGGTCAATATAGACGATGTCCAACCCTTCCTTCACACATAATGTCAATATATACGATGTAATACCAATCCTTCACACATACTGTCAATATAAACGATGCACCGTCCATCTGTCACAAACACCGTCACTATATACAATGTCCCACGCATCCTTCACACACACGGTCAATATAGACGATGCCCCACCCATCCTTCACACACAATGTCAATATATACGATGTAATACCAATCCTTCACACATACTGTCAATATAAACGATGCAGCACCCATCCGTCACAAACATAGTCAATATATACAATGTCCCACCCATCCCTCACACATGCTGTGAATATGTCGATGTCCCGCCCGTCCTTCATATATAATGTTAATATAAACGATGTACCCACCCACCATCCTTCACACATAAAGTCAATATATACGATGTACCAACCATCCATTACACACCGTCAGTATATAAGATGTACCACCCATCCTTCACAACATAATGTCAATATATAAAATATACCCACCATCAATCACACACACCGTCAATATATATGATGCACCACCCATCCTTCACATATAACGCCAATATATACGATGGGCCACCTATCCATCACACACACCGTCAATATATATGATATCCCACACATCCATCATACACACCGTCAATATATACGATGTGCCAACCATCCTTCACATTCACCGTCAATATATACGATGTCCCAACCATCCTTCACATACACGGTCAATATAGACGATGTTACACCCATTCTTGAAACATAACCTCAATATATGCGATGTCCCATCCATCCATCACACACACCGTCAATAAATACGATGTCCCAACCATCCTTCACATATAATGTCAATATATGCCATGTACCAACAACCCTTCACACACGACGTCTATATAAAAACGATGTCCCGCCCGTCCTTCACATATAATGCCAATATATACGATGTACCCACCATCCTTCACACACACCGTCAATATATACGATGTCCCAACCATCCTTAACACAAAGTGTCAATATATACGATGACCCACCCATCCTTCACACATAATGTCAATATATACGATGTCCCACCCATTCTTGAAACATAACCTCAATATATGCGATGTCCCACCCATCCATCACACACACCGTCAATAAATACGATGTCCCAACCATCCTTCACATATAATGTCAAAATATGCCATGTACTAACAACCCTTCACACACACCGTCTATATAAAAACGATGTCCCGCTCGTCCTTCACATATAATGTCAATATATACGATGTACCCACCATCCTTCACACACACCGTCAATATATACGATGTACCAACCATCCTTAACACAACATGTCAATATATACGATGTACACGCCATGCTTCACACAAACCGTCAATATATAAGATGTATAACCCATCCTTCACACATAATGTCAATATATACGATGTACCCACAATCCCTCACACACACCGTCAATATAGACGATATACCACCCATCCTTCACACATAAAGTCAATATATACGATGTCCCACCCATTCTTGAAACATGACCTCAATATATGCGATGTCCCACCCATCCATCACACATAATTTCAATATATACGATGTCCCACCCATTCTTGAAACATAACCTCAATATATGCGATGTCCCACCCATCCATCACACACGCCGTCAATAAATACGATGTCCCAACCATCCTTCACATATAATGTCAAAATATGCCATGTACCAACAACCCTTCACACACACCGTCTATATAAAAACGATGTCCCGCCCGTCCTTAATACAAAATGTCAATATATACGATGTCCAACCCATCCTTCACACATAATGTCAATATATACGATGTCCCACCCATTCTTGAAACATAACCTCAATATATGCGATGTCCCACCCATCCATCACACACACCGTCAATAAATACGATGTCCAAACCACCCTTCACATATACTGTCAATATATGCCATGTACCAACAACCCTTCACACACACCGTCTATATAAAAACGATGTCCCGCCCGTCCTTCACACATAATGTCAATATATACGATGTACCCACCATCCTTCACACACACCGTCAATATATACGATGTACCAACCACCCTTAACACAATATATACGATGTACCAACAATCCTTAACACAAAATGTCAATATATAGGATGTACACGCCATGCTCCACACACACATAATGTCAATATATACGATGCCCCAACCATCCTTCACATTCACCGTCAATATATACGATGTCCCACCCATCCTTCACACATAATGTCAATATATACGATGTCCCTCCCCATTATTGAAACAAGACCTCAATATATGCGATGTCCCACCATTCCATCACACACACCGTCAATAAATACGATGTCCCAACCATCCTTCACATATAATGTCAATATATGCCATGTACCAACAACCTTTCAGACACACCGTCTATAAAAAAACGATGTCCCGCTCGTCCTTCACATATAATGTCAATATATACGATGTACCCCCAATCCCTCACACACACCGTCAATATATACGATGTACAAGCCACTCTGGACACACACCGTCAATATACACGATATACCACACATCCTTCACACATAAAGTCAATATATCCGATGTACCACACATCCTTCACATATAATGTCAAAATATGCCATGTACCAACAACCCTTCACACACACCGTCTATATAAAAACGATGTCCCGCCCGTCCTTAATACAAAATGTCAATATATACGATGTCCCACCCATCCTTCACACATAATGTCAATATATACGATGTCCCACCCATTCTTGAAACATAACCTCAATATATGCGATGTCCCACCCATCGATCACACACACCGTCAATAAATACGATGTCCAAACCACCCTTCACATATACTGTCAATATATGCCATGTACCAACAACCCTTCACACACACCGTCTATATAAAAACGATGTCCCGCCCGTCCTTCACACATAATGTCAATATATACGATGTACCCACCATCCTTCACACACACCGTCAATATATACGATGTACCAACCATCCTTAACACAATATATACGATGTACCAACAATCCTTAACACAAAATGTCAATATATAGGATGTACACGCCATGCTCCACACACACATAATGTCAATATATACGATGCCCCAACCATCCTTCACATTCACCGTCAATATATACGATGTCCCACCCATCCTTCACACATAATGTCAATATATACGATGTCCCTCCCATTATTGAAACAAGACCTCAATATATGCGATGTCCCACCATTCCATCACACACACCGTCAATAAATACGATGTCCCAACCATCCTTCACATATAATGTCAATATATGCCATGTACCAACAACCTTTCAGACACACCGTCTATAAAAAAACGATGTCCCGCTCGTCCTTCACATATAATGTCAATATATACGATGTACCCCCAATCCCTCACACACACCGTCAATATATACGATGTACAAGCCA